AATTGAATAGAATTGTATTTATGTGAGAAAAGCATTTTAGGGGTTTCATTACATTTTTTTTAATTTGAGTAATATGGTTGCGAAGACGTGCAGAGTATTGAAGCTTTTGGCTCGCCGTTGATAATATTAAGTATTTCATCATTGCAGCCTTTTAATCAGGATAACTGTACAGATCACAAAAATTATTGGAATGACCAGGATTGTTAGATCAATTACTCCAATAGTTCGACTCATAAGTTCCACTATTTTCAGAATCTGATGTTTGCATCCCTAAAAATGTGAAATTTAATTAGCGTATGTGATAAACATTGGAGATGAAATGCAAACCAACATTACTCACACCCAACTTAGTGGCATTGCATTCGCTTCCTGGGTAGCAACAGATCGTGTTTGGATCTTTGAAGTCAGTAGGGCCATTAAATCCACAGCATTCCAACTGATATGAAATATGGTAAAATTAAAAGTAAGCGTCCTACCTTTTGTTGAAGGTGTCTCATGGAATACACTATGAACGTTCTATAAGCACCGTCACCGTCTCTATTAGCTATATCTATGTAGCTTTGGAAAGATTGCTTCGCATATGGGAAGGCCTAACCAAAAGAATCCATTATATAGGTGAACATAATACTTACAGCATCAAATTTAGCTAGTAGAAAGATTCGTATCACGGCTGCCGATGTTAAGAATACGATTAAGAAATAGACGAACTAAATGCAAGTTCATGAGAATTAATGAATCAATCTTACCCAAATGAGAATTTTTCGATTGGCTAAAATAGCTCCAACAATTCCCAGAATAGATGCAACTGCTAAGCATTCAGTGAGGAAGATTATCACAGTCATCAAGAAACCGTATTTGCAAGGGTTTTGAAGTGTAAAATGTAAAATGAGTTCAGCAACCAAAATAACAGCTGCAAATAACTATAAACATTTAATTTCATTGCAGTTACAGCATTCAACTTACCAAGCTCAAAATACTGTAAATTCCTGTAGCGAAACGTAGACACTTGGTGGGTTGCTCTGTCTTTGTTGCATCCTCCGGGGTGTCATGAAAATAAAGTTTCTCCTTTTCCATCACGACTTTCTGTAGAAATGTAAGAATTCAACAGTTTTATATTATTATTTTGATGTCTGATTGGCTTACAGGTCATGCCTAAATTTCACTGCACAATAGTGGGTCAATCATAATGAAGAATGTTTCCCACATGCTCAATTACAACACTTTAGAAGAAGAGGAAAAATAATGATAATTTTCTTATACGTATCATTTAATCCGTTCAGTTTCAAACTTCATTTTTAGGCGAAGCTGTGCCAACGTCTACATGAGGACAATGTAATGAGCAAAATGGACTGAAAACTGGCAAACTTGCAACACATCATCGATATTGGAACCATTACGTTAATTGTCAGTTTAATGTCCATGAAATACAATACGCTTAACCTATATGACCAAATTAAGGGGATAATATATCGATTTTGAGCAATGTTTCATTTTTAAATTAACGATTCCATTAAAATTTCCATGTAGGATTTAATGTTTCATTCAATATACTGCAAAATTGGCCCCGAAAGAATCTAACACTTTGCCAATTTGTGGAATGACTAGA